CACATCATGAAAATGAACGCAAGATGTCATGTGCTCATCGTACACGCACATTTGCACAACGCAAGTGCACCTCCCGATGCCGCATCTCATATTCATAGACTCAAATGCCGCGCACATGTTTCATGGGCAATTCCTCCAACGCCCGATATCCTGTAAAATATGCATCGTGTTATCATTACCGCTCTGCGTGGTAGATCGTTCGCACGCGGGAACATCACACGAACGATAATGCCAATAACACGCTTCAACAATACATTATCCGCGTACTTGCTTGAACGTGAATAATTTTTAAACAGCGAAGTGATCGACTTAAAAATGGCATCGCTGATTGGAAACGTTTGTTTGTACAGAATATCATATGATCCACGTATCATTTTTTTATGTCGCCAAAAAACCTATAAAATTTTTCTCCAAAATGTTCGTTTATTCGCAAATTATTCGTAATTTATGTATGATATAAAGTGCATATATCTTATATTTTATTCTCTCATTTATTTTCTTATATTTTTATTTTTTTTTGTCTATTTACAATCAGCTCAAGGCGAGAATACACTATCGCGAACATCGCAACTTTTTATTGTGCACTTTTTTTATGCAGCCTTGTTTATTTTCAAAGTACAAAGTGCGCTACATAATTAGAGATATGACCGATGAATGATAAACATCGACATATTCCACGGCCTTCGCCTTTTCGTGAAGCGCGTTCGCGCGCAGCGTTAATGCATCGCCGACACAGAAGTCATTTGGTTACAAAGACGCCGTACGATCGGCACGTTGTAACGCGAGCGGTCACGGTACTTTTGTCTATCGAGCCGGAATACCGAGTCGGCGCGCGATAACGCCATTACAAAGGTCACTGTCGTGACCCTCCTCTCCTCTCGTCGACAGCGCGAGAAGAGTGGGTGGGTGCCTGGGGGTCAGGAGTTGCTGCAACCTGCCGGCAGCTACCCTCCGCCTCGACGTTGCACTCTCCTATTCATGAACTTGAACGTGACCGTTAGCGGTTCGACCAGTCGTATCCGACGCGCAGAAAAGTTGTAAGTCACGATTGGAATCTATATTCCGCGGGAGCGTCCGTAGCAAAAACTTTTGACCTCCGCGAATCTAATTTTTTATGTATTGTCTTCGGAATAATGTTAAATACACTTTGAATTTTATAATGCAATTTAGTTGCATTTATGTCGCGATGTAAACCATGCAACGGTGAAAGAAAGAGAATATTTGAATTTGTAGTTAATATTTTGTCATAAATCAATTGACACATTAATTAATTAGATATTTATTCGATTTTATTAATCCAAAAATTCAGGTTGATTCAACAATAATAATGCGAGATCTCTGGACGTGTCCGCTATATGCAAGTATCTTGTAAATAATAGTTACATAAACGAAGGACGCATATGCTTGTTAATGCGATATTGTTGTGGAAACGCGACGCCACATCCCAATAAACAACAAACAAGCTCGAAACAATGAAAACTTTATGACAAAAGCAGAAAATGCTCGAAATACGCGGCGATGTGGTTTCATAAGCCATTAAATATGCGAAACCAGTCGATTAAATATGACCATCCAAGAATGCAAATTTCACTGCCTGCAATCGTTATGTAATAGAATTACACGGTCGAATTGGTAAATTCATAATGAAGTCATTGATGCGCGCAGTTGTTTTTGTCCACATATTTTAATATGCTGTGCCAACCGATATATACTTTAATTAACTGAAGCGCTTCGTCTCGCTCGCACCACCGTTAAAACGTTAACTGCAATTTCCAGATCAAATTTTCGCGCAATCTTAGACGATTGTTTTCTCATGCATAACACACGTGCTACCACGGTATACAACGGATGTAGTTATTATAAGAAAATCGCTCTGTCGTCTGCCTGAAGAAAAAGAAGTCTGTCTGAAGAGGCAGAATTGTTCTTCTTCCTCTTCAAAAGTCTTTTGAAGAGGAACAACTGTACTTCTTCCTTGCTATTGACGCACCAGATATATGGTGAAGTAACTTCGAATAAAAGATGGTTTCTCCGTGGCTTTCTATATACGTACTTTTAGAAATTTTGAAGTTGAAACAACCTCTTGGCTTAAAGTGGACGTATTAGTGTTTTATTATATTTTTTTAAGAATTTTATTCAGCCGTAAAAATGTTTACGAACGAAGTTTATTGCCGTTAAATAATTTGATAGGCAAACTTTTCTCTTTTATATCAGCATTATTATCAATAACGCTGTCAGTTTGTTATAACACATTTTTTGCGATTTGTTTTCCTTTTGGGCGCAATATTTCGCGCAATTAATCATTGCCAGGTGGCGCTTGCCGCTACAAGGAAGGTCGAATGAAAGCGACGTAATCTGACTTAAGGCTGCAGGATACCCGCATTTTTGTCCTTCTCGCGGCTTAACCCCTTCCTACGTCATCCCCGGCGGGATTAAAGATACTGAGGATGCGGAACCTCGGCGGTGAAGGACGGGGCGAGGTGCGTCGGATGTTGAGAGAAGTTTAATCCCTTGGCTGTAATTACGCTGTATTCCAAGGCTAAAAATATTTCGAACCCCGTGGTGGAGGGGTGGGCGGGCAGATCGTAAGGGACGGTCAATTAAGCACGATTTTCTACCTTCGACTGAGTTTCCCGCGTGATTTTTGCTCTCTCAGCATTCATCGTTGTGCGTCTATTTGTGAGAGAATTGCGAACGCTCGGGCGGGCACGTGGAATCTCGATGGTTTACGCGCATTTTAATCTGCTACATCCGACAATTTCCGAGATTTAAATGTAATATAGCATTACACTTAATGGCATACACAAATTACAAAAGCAAAATTAAGCATTCTAAATATTTTTCTTATCTGTAAAATATGTAATATTTATTTTATTATTTACGTAATTATTCCTCTCTTTTATTAAGTTACATTTTATCTGTATTGCACCAACAACATCGGCAAACAATTTATTTATTATAAATTTATAAACTCATTAGCTAATGTGTATTGTTCTGCGTGTATTTACGTGAATTATATTAATCCTTTATCTTATCAAATACAATTTCTAATTAAAAAGTACTGAAGTTTTCAAGCTTCAATAAGCATACGAAAGCTCATTAACTGTATAATCTATCGTTTTCTACTTTTATTCGAATTAAAATTTGTCGTAAAGAAATCTATTAATCCCATTATTCAATTGGCATTGGCGGAAATATAATTAAAATATAATTATTCATTGTGAAACGGTGGATTGCCGATATTGTTGCAATATTATATTCGAACGAATATTGCGTCAGACGGCAAAGTACCGTCGAGGGCTCATTAACTAAAACCAATTACTGAGACGGACAGATTTAATTTTCCGCCGGCGATAAAATTAATTCAATGCTAGGTTCATATTTCTCATATGTATAGGATATTAGCGAGATGAATTTTATGCAAGAAAAGATCAATTCATAATGGACGATCGTATATCCGATGACATATCACATTTTAGATGCAATGATAATGAAAAGAGTGAATTAATTCTTTCATCATATAAAAATATTATGTCTACGAAGCTATAAAAATTGAAATAGGGTTTACAAAATTTTGCGCTATTTAAATTAATGCTCTATTCTTAATTTTGACGTTTTAATTATTTAGTAGAAATTCATGCATATTTTAGCATACTCAACTACTGAAATTTTAATTGTGAGAGAACATGATTGTTTTTTTGTAAACATAAAAATTGCTTTGTTACATATTATGCGGGTGCTTCAAAAGTCACTCGTTTCGATTATACCTGTTATTCAAGATAAAAGAGAATAAAATACTGCCTCGCGATTGCGGTTCAATGAAATCGATAATAGTCACGCGAAGTTCAAAAGCGACTAAAAGCGGCAGGAAAGAAAGCGGAGCCAATAAGAAACAAATCAAGACAAAAACGAAACTTGAGAGAACCTAAGGAGCATCTTACGATAAATCGCGCTGAGGAAGAAAAAAGAACTTATCGATGCAAGAAAAAGAGGGGGAGCGAATTGTTTCAGACAGGAAATCGATGTATTGGTATTTTCTTTTACACTTCAATATTTATTCAGAGCTTTTTTTTCAAACCGCTTCCGTGAAAGGTGGCAAGTGAAAATTTAGTGAGTACAAACTAGTGAGAGTAAAATTTAATTGCGAATTCTACAGCATTGCGTTAAAAAGTGTAGTTACATTATTGCTTTATAAAAGAGTATTTATGGAGCTAAAAAACAATTGGATAAATCTACATTTATTGTTTTATGTTTATAATTATTCTTTTTGTATTATTAACATTTAATATTAATATAAAATTTTTTAATTGTAAGTATTATTACAATATTTATGTCATTTTTAATTATAACATATCAATTTTCATTTATTCGCGAATAAACCGGATATTCAGCGTTGACCAAATACCATAATCAAACAAACCGACACGAACCGATGGCCACGACGACACTTATCTCTTCTGGAACACTCTGCGAGGAGACTCTTTCAAGGGTCACTCGATCGAAGGAACGTTCCGTGCTCTGCCATTGTCCCTTTTCAAGCTCACCGCTGCTTTACTATATGCAATAAAGCCGGTTATAAAGCAGGATATTGCAAAAAAAAAACTCGTCCAGCCAAGTGGCTGAAGGATAATTGAATTGAGTCGCATCTCACAAAAAGATAAAACCCGGAAATTGACAGCGACGTATTAAGAAAGGAAAACTCAGACAAATTTTATAAAATTCTGCATTTATATACGAAACAAAATTGTAAAAATATTTGAGATAAATTGAACTTGCAGTGACTTTCATGCATTGTCATTGAACTTGAACAATCGCATATTATTAGAAAATTCCCTATATATAAGATTGCATATAAGATGCATAAAAATAACCAAGCGAGAATTTTAATGCGAGATATAAAGAAAATATTTAAATATACATAAAAATTCAAATTATATGATTAAACGTACAGCGAGTGCTTTATGTTATCGCACTCAAATAGACATTTTGTTATTTCGTTACAGATGCAATATGGAGAACCGATTTGGACTGGATAGTAATACATCGCGATCGTCTAGTATTATTAAGCTTCATGAACCCGATCGGCAACTTAAGCTCCCTGACCGGCTCGGTGACGCCACAACCTTTCTTAACTCTGACCCCAGAAGAAGGCATTAATGAGAACCTCGACGAGTTTACCACTTCGACACCCGGTCTAACAAACATGGCGCTTCCGGATGTTGTCGAGACTCACGTCGGCGAGACAACTACCACGTTCTCGACTATTCTCCACCCAATCGTCACAGATCCACCTTTGTCTCGAACCACTACTCCGAGTCCCGGTACAACTTCCGGCAAAACTACTACCACTGCTACTACTACTACTGCTACGAGCACCGAAACGACTTCGACGATCTCGAAAACAACAATGTTGCCGAAGAACAACACCGCGAGACGTCCGACCGCGAGAACCTTCACTAAAAGCAGTAATTCGAAGAGGTCAAAGGCGAAGAATCTCACCAGGATATCCACAACGACGAGATCTTCCAGAGCCGTCGGAAACATGACGGCTCAGAGTATGTCGTTGACGATGAACAGCCTGGCGGATCTTGACCATCCCGAGAATTTGAATCTAGAACTTCAAACAGGTAAGCCGGTCGTGGATCTACATTGTTCTACTTAATTACGATTTTATTTTGGAAATTATTTCAAAGTAAAAACGCGGGAGAAATCCTTAGAACGAAGATTGATAAATGCACACATTGTAAAAATAATTATTAAAGCCACTAAATGGGAACGGAAGAGCATTCTATTTCATCATAATGGCCGCATGAAAAAATTATGAAGCCATTGGCAAAACAACAGGTGGAAAAAGAGCGGCACATTTTTCATAATATCTTATAAAATATTTGCGCTGAGAGCGAGATTTCACTTCCGCCGCAATGGAACGAATATATCGCGAATATATCCGCTCGTTGTAAAACAGGATTATTTACAAGCCACGTATTCCGTTTTTTAGCCGAATCATATGGTCCGATTACTCTGGAATATCTGAATTACGCCGCCGCGCTCGGCGTCTACTCGGTAAGGTATCCCGCCGTCTTCTGGTCGTGCAACAAAGCATTGGGTACAATTTTCAGTCTGCAACTGGTCATAAATTCAGCGCAGAGTCTGCTGGCTTACGCCGGAATGTCCGTCCTTTATAAGGTAAGCAACGCAAAGTATTCGATGCCAGTTAAAACTCGCGGAGAAACTTCGGTACGTCTCAGTCGGCCCGAATACGCCACTCTTGCGGATACTCCAAGAAACTTAATAAAACGCTAAGAATCCGGTAAACGTCGGAAATCTCGGAAAATACATTACGAAATAAGATCGTCTTGTGCGGGAAAAATTGATTTGTACAGTTGGAAAAGAAATTCGAAAGTTGGAAAATAAAGTATAAAGTGGTTATCGAAACTGGAACAGCAATAATCTTGGAGATTTATATTCTTGCTTTATAATTATATACATATTACTTTCCGATATTACTCCGAAAGAATAATCTCTCAATTTTATGCTTAAATAAAATTAAACTTCCATCTAATTTCTTTCTGTCAAGAAAGAAGAATAATTTAACACGCTGTTAAGCATCGAAATTGGAACAGTAATAATCTTGAAGATTTATATCTAGGCTGTTCAAGATTCATCCGTACTTTAAAAACATATATCTAATCATGAAATATGCATTTAACAGGTCCAGGTGGTAGGCGCGTTAAAAGCCCTGCCGCTTCTTCGGCATCGCACCGTAGCGACGACCAGTACAATCTCGACAATATTCGGAGACTCCTACTTTCTGCTGGATCCTCCCGTGACCCTCGTGCTCTTCGCTCTCTCGTCTTTCCTGGTGCTCTGTTCCAGCATGGTCATGTACTTCTACGCTCACGGCAGGTAAATATTTAGCGTGTTATGCACGGCAGGCTTGTTGTCCAAGTCTGCCTCATCGATTAAACTCCAGCTGAGATTACCTGCCGGGGTCTTTTTTTTCGCAAAGAAAATTATCTAGCCCATCCGCTCTCTTATCAGATCGGAGTAATAAATGAGTTTGCTCTGAAGAGCGGAATGCGTGCGGACTGCGCGCTATACCAGATTCTTATCGGTTAATTTTTTTCATAGAACATTTTTAACACACCGCTTTAAAACGTGGAGTCGCTACATTTATTCATTATATGCGTTAATACGTCTCTCGCGCTGAATTTCGCGCTTCAGTCTTCTAGTTGTGCGCGAAAGCATTTTTACTGCAGAATTCAACGACCTCGTAAATTTTACTTTCCATTTATCGCTTTTATTTGACTTGCTAATTTGAAACAGCACTTATACGCGTAAGACAGACAGACGTATACCCTCCCCGATACTATCATTATTCAGTATAAAACTCAATGGTTTCCTTAATACGTTTCAATCCTCCTTTCTCGACTTCCCATACCATGTAACAAAGGATAGCAATTAACAATCTCGCCGGTACCACAGGGTATCTCTTACCGACTTTAAAAGAAGTAAAGTTTCAATTTAATTTAAAGAGCGCAGAAGTAGTCTATAGTAGACAAAGAATTAAAAGATATAACAATAAGTTTAATCTCATCTAAGATATATAAAGAACAATTTTTCACCGTATTATATAACGCAAAACCGATTTTTTTTTTTTTTATTCTCTTCAAAATTAGAGAATTATTTTCCGGAAAAAAACGGTCAAGAGCTAAAATAAATTAACAGTTTTGTATTGTATCGCTTTTTGCTTGTTTTTATATTCGTTTTTCGATTCGTTAAAATCAGCTCGCGATTCCCAGCGAAACTGTCGAAATATTCTCGCTCGTCATCTCTCTCGCTTTGCATCAACTAATTATACGCCGCGCGATGCGTAGGTTCACCGCTTTCCTGAATCAGGAACGCGAGCGTCGCGTGATCCTGTTGAGGGACGGCCGCGAGGGCAACGGCTGGGTCTACCTGCCACACTGCGCCGCGCTCGTCGTATTCCTGGCGATCTCGATTTGTGGCGCGCCGCTGCTGTACGATTACACGGTAGTGTATCGCGGCAGTCTGGACGGCGCGATCCTCGCCTGCATCATCGGCGTGATACTCCACCTCCTTCTCTGGCTGCTCCTCTGGATAATCCTTACCATCAAGCAACGCTGGACGTTCAAGATGCGCGTGACCATCGGTCGCGCCACCGTGAGGTCCGCGAGGTCGATGAAACTCGTGACCGACGTCGATCTGCTGTCGGCCAAGGACGACGACGACGGCACCAGCGCGCCTTTGCTTATCGTCGATAACGGCAGGACTTACACTATCGCCGACACCTCGCCGAAGAGGGCTATCATGAACGTGATACAGAAGGCTGCTATGGAGAAGAAGGCTCGATCGCAAGGTAATTGAATATTGAATATAATTCGAATTTTTGTCTTCCGTAAATATGCACACCTCGCCTTTTGCTCCAGCATTTTTTGAAAGATTGAATTGACTCTTTGCGCGAAATACATTGCCGTACTAAAATTGGCTTTCACAGTAGCGTTCGCTTTTTGTTTGATTTGAAGTCGAGAAGACAACGAATGCACGCCGCCGGGCATAAAATGGAACGAGCCGCGGGGCTTAAACTCTGATCGATGAAAAGTACGCGCGGCTAATACCTGAAAGCGATTTATCCTTTTCCGCGTCCATTGCAGGCGGAAACGTCGACGGGGTCGACGGCGAATCGACGGCTGACGGTGATGAGCAGATCTACTGGCTTAGGCCGAAATTACGTCCTTCGCCCGCGCAATCCCCGAGCGACAACAGCGGTGCACCGACGTCCGACAAGGGTTGGCTGAACAAGAAGCTCAAGCATAAGGTCACCTTTAACGACCTGCCTAGTACGTCAGGCTCGCGGTAACTACCCTCCTCCCTCCTCTTGGTGTCTTTGTGTATCTGTTTCTACTGCTTTCACTACTCTGCCCACGTTACACTTGTAACACAAGTAGCACTTCACCCGTATATTCCTTAGCGTGTTTGCAGTACTTAACACAAAGTTAAATTCTTCGGTATCAGTATTAATTCGTAGCAGTATTTACCAGTTTCCTTTCCCTCTGCATTTCCACGATAAATCAATATTTATCGAATCAATTACGAATGGCAATATACTTTGGGAAGCTTGAGTTTTATTTCGATAAAGCACGAAACTGTCTTATGAAACTATCGAATTCTAAACTCTTGAAATTCGCTATGTGCACAAAGTATTCACTTTAAATATAGTTTAATATTGCGCTCTTTCTTATTCTACTACTTGCTTCTTCTATTCTTTATCGATGTAGTATTTCTATATATATCTTCAAGTATTTTGGGTATATATTTGGGAAATGTAAAGTTCTAGGTCTATCAAATGATGTGATATGTGATCCTAAGGCATAACAATGAACAAATTGTATATTTTAACATTTTGATATACATTTTATTCATTTTTATGCTGTAGAATCTTATATCATATCATTCAACAAGGTTAGAACTTTGCTGTGATGTATTGAAATCTTATATTTTAGAGAAAGAAATGGTTTAGAATGTTAAAATGTATATTTTATTCATTTTTATGCTTTATAATGTTATATTTGTTAGGTTAAAATTTTAGAATGTACATTTCCCTTATTGCGATGCATTGAAATCTTATATTTAAAAAAAAAATGGATTAGAATTCTAGAATATAAAATTTTAATGCATCGCAGTAAAGTTCTAAGTCTGCCAAATGTTATGATGTAAAATTCTAAACCATAAAAATGAATAAAATGTACATTTTAACATCCTACGCCATTTTTTAAATTCTAGACCTACCAAATGTTATGATGTACGATTTTAAGGTATAAAAATGAATTAAATGTGTACATTTTTACATTTGAAGCAATTTTTATGTTCAAAATATAAGATTTCAATGCTCATTGTAAGCAATAAAAATTAGTATCACATAAATTTTTAAAAATCTATAACTTAACATCTCTTTTTTAAAAAAAGGATTAGTTCTTTACTATCACTATGCGTGCTAATGTACAGATATTGCAGAGCTTTTCTATTTTATTTGCGTGCATACCCATTCCGCTTAATATCCAGCCACCTATCACCGTTTCTCTATCCTTATTTCAATCTTCTTCAGCAATCGTTATGTCGCACGTAAGCATGAGACATTGTTTAATTGCTTCGAATGATTTCTAGTAATAAGGGAAAAGCCAGACGAGGCGTCGCTGACGGCGGGCCTGATGATGACGGAGATTACGCCACATTACGCGAATTACCGCTAGTCACCTCACTAGATCCGGCCGATGATTCCACCTCTGAAGAAAACAAAGTAAGTTATATTTTAATTAATCGTTATTTCACATAAAAAAGAATTATAGGATATCATTATATTTTTTTCTTTCACAAACATTCATTGTCAGAAATTATGATTTTTCTTATAAAAACAGTTTATCGATCTCTCTGCGATTTGAGGGATTGTTATTTATTAGTAAAAATGTAACAGAGCTATTTCTGTTCAACGAGTTCTATTTTACTCTCTGAATCTGTTTTTATCGCACTTCCTGCCACTTTAATTTTAGAGAATTTTTTTTGCATTTAACAGTGGCAAAGATGGCCGATAACTCGTAGGGACGGTATACCTAAATTCAGGAATGTAAGATAAAAAAATTTTTTTTTCTGTACTTTTTGATGTAATATCAATTAACTGCGTGTGTGGTTTCGATTGTCCACTAACAAATCTTGTAATTCCTGAAATTTATTAGAATGACTAGACAATAAGTGTTAGTTAATTTATTTTTATTAAATAATTGCAACATTATTATTAAATAGTATATATATAATTATTTCATAAAACAGCTTATATAATTTATAAGCTTTCATACTTATATATACATATAAGTATGAAAATTTTGTATGAGTAATTATACAAAAGCGACAAATTTATTAGTATAGACTTATAATTATTTTTTATTATTTAGTTTTTAACATAATTTTAATGAACGAATCACAAATAGTTTATATTTAATTGATATGCATATAGAGATAGACGTGTCATCGTAAACACTTAACATATAATAAAACACAGCTCACAGCTTGGCAGTTATAGACATGAATAGTTGGCAGTTCTGTCGCAATACTGATCTTACACAAATACATAAATATTTTTCTCAACGTTTAGTTATTCACATTTTCATCATTGAGCATGGAACTAAAACTTCGTCTTCATTCAAATAACATTTGCGTTTTACTAACGGTGCCGCCTTTTGACAGTTGCTCGAGTGCGTGAACGACGATCAGGTGACTTACTATGCGAGTGCGAATCGTGACCTACAACCGTCGGAAGGTGATCCTTCGCCCCTTCTGACCCCCGATCCTCTACCTGATCCCGTTGAGGAAGAACCGCTCCCGTTGCCCCCTCCGACTCCAACCTCCGCACCAACCACTGATATTGTCACGGCGCCACTAACTACAAATGTCCAGGTACTAGCACCCTTAGCCACGCATTGTCTAGTTCACGTAGACGAAAATGCGAGATTGTCATTATGTTAAATAATGTACCATGCATCCAAATTGATCAACAAAGTTCAGTTGAAACCTAGTTAAACCTTAATCAAACCTAGTTGAAGATTTAACTTAGTTAAATCTTAGTTAGTTCTTAGAATTGTGCATTGACAGTCTCAGTCTATCGTTTGCAACTCAAGACTTTGCATGCAATTCCATGTTATCCCAGTACATCCAAAAGTGTCAAAAGTTAACTAAAAATGTTAAAAAGAACTATACTTATAAAAGCATCTGTATATTTGGACAATTATTTTGAAACCTTTGCATTGATGATCTCCTAATATCCATAGTAGCCAAAGTCTCGTTATATGTTCCCGTTGCTTGTGTAACGTCGCAGAAACTACACTCAGTTCGTCTGTTAATCGAAGAAAATGTTCTTGCTCATAGTTTCTATGCAATTTTTTCCAGATGAACGGTGGACAAACGCCGCGATGCCTGCGTCGCGCGGATTCGGGAATGCCGCACGATGAACTGACACCGCGCTCGGACTCCTCGAATTCACCACCTTTGGACGCGGTAGGCAGCGGCGGCGGCGGCGCCGGTTCGGTCACCGGCCACAGCAACACCAGCAGCAACAGCGAGACGTCGAGCGGCGTGCATAGTAACGCCAGCAACGCCAGCAACGCTAGCCACACCAGCTCCCAAACCGGTCGTCGAGCGACCAGCGTGGACGATCTGACCGGCGAGCCGCGCGAGGAACCGCGCGAGCAGTGGCGCAGCTGCTCCCTTCAGCGAGGCACGCAACCGCCTACGGCAAATACGACCTTCTCGCCGCCCAACAGCCGCCCCAGCACCAGCCAATCCTTTTCCTCGCCGCAATACGTGAACCACGTGCCGCCGTTCGCCAACGCTGCCGGCGGCAACGAGATCGGCTCAGGCTGCCCGGCGGTCATCCTCGAGAATCCGAACGAGGCGACGGTCGTAATTCGCCGCAAACTCTCGAGAGCGAAGCTCACGGATCCGCTGAACGCAAACGAGGAACCGTTTGGTCGGTCCACCAACATGAGGATGACCTCCTTCACGGAGAGCAACGACATCCGCATACAGGCTTCCTCGGCGACCCTGCCGCACTATCCCACGCAGCCTATCGTCACGTATCCGCACTGCTCCACGATGCCGCTGCCTCACGCGTCATCCCACAGCGTGGCCACAGCGAACATGAGCGGCGGCTCGACCGGCAGCTGCGGCTCCGTGCCGAAGCACACGTTCGTGCCACCGCAAGTTCACACTACGATGCCGGCGCACACGACGCTGCCGTCGCATCACAACGGTGTCAGGCTGCTACACAACGCCAGCGCTAATCCTAACAATCCGTTCGTCAAGAGGTTCCCGCCGGTGCAGCTGCACACCCAGCCCTGGGCTCTGCCGGGGCATCACACCTTCCCGCAGATGCCACCGAACAACAACAAGCTCACGGCCACCGCGCAGATCAGACAGAGCGACCGGGACTCGGCGAACTTCTCCATGGCCAGTAGCGGGGACTCCGACACGTGTTTACCGCACTAAAATGCGCGAGGACTGCTGATTTAGGCGTTAAAAGCGTGTGCGCGGCCGAATTATGCTGGTGAACTCCGTACCGCCTTTTAGTGCGTCAGGTGATACTCAGTATTTTCGTGAATGACGTTTTGTCGTTGGAATCACGATATCAAGCGGGCATCGCAGTTTCCAGATACGATGTATCACTGACGATCGTTATTTCTTTTAAGGGCTTATTCAGGTGAGTGAGAGCGATAGAAGTGTAGCAGGCAGACAGAGAGCAGCTCTTTGCGCGAACTCGAGACGAGTTGTGAATGAATATTTTATTCCGAAATAAATCTTTAGGCAAAATTGTAATATGTATTTAGTATGCTGCATTACCAGGTATGAATCGTTAGAGGAAGCTTTCACATATTTTATATCTCGTATACCGAAATTTGAAGAAATATCGGATTAAAGTTGAAACGACATATCACACTTCTGCCGTTAAATGCCATTTGTTAAATGTATAAATGTATGGCATTCCTTAATATACGTGCTACCTCTATTTTTTTACAATTTGATCGGACGCGACACGTCGATCGGATTTTACCTGATTATTTAAATAGATGTGTCTATGATATTAACGTAGTTTATTGCACAAAAGCCGCATATATATAAAAATGCCACTCGTTTGAATAAACGATGAACGAGCATCAAGGTAAATGGTCGAAAAAGGCACGGAAAGTATAAATGATTATATGGTGAACGTAATTAATAATTATAATTAAAAACAATTCCGTTACATACATATCTTATATACGTTGTGATCCCATTTAATCTCTAATCACGCAGCAATAAAATGAAATATCTGAAACGGTTAGTGATATAAATAGTGAAACAATAGGTACTCAATCGAGAAATCTTCATCCTGGTTAATGCGAAATACTCCTGAATCATTCAACAATAAGTAATTATGCATAAGTAACGCACGTATATCGCAGTTTAAAGAGAAGTAAATCAGATTACGATAAGTATAAATAATACTAGATCCTCTGCTCGAGTTTGCGCAAACGTCTTTCGATGCGCGCTTATAGTTAAAATCATCATTTTCATTTTACTATCTCACGAGGCGGAGGTATTCGACATAAAGGAAAATCAGCGCTTTGCCATATATGATAACAACAGAGATGATAATCGTCAGCAGGCGGAAGAGTGAGAATAATGTAGTTATCCCATTTTTAGGTATGGAAAAAAAGTTATCGTGTTGTCCTAAATAAAATACGTGTATAGAGTGAAGTAAGGATAGTCGGTTGTAAGAGAAAATGTGGGAAAAAACTCGGGTCGCTCCTTCATAAGCATTCACGCTTTTGTATCAATAATTAAGATCTCTTTTCTACCGATAATTGTAAATTTTGTTAAAATGTAATTTGTACATTGCTAATCATTTGTTTATAGTGCGGCTCTGACGAGTCACTTACGTGCGATTAAGGCGAAAAGAAGAAAAGCATTCTCTCACGTGCGTGAACTGCACGTTCGAACTATGCGCAATACGTTTTTTCTCTCATTCGCTTTTGGTCTTGTTTCTTTTTCTTCTTTTATAGTCGCAATGTTTGTTTGTTTGAATGTTCTATAAGTTATATGTTTAAATATTAGAAATTACGTGCGAAATAGCACGCGAGCGGTTTTATATGAATTGTATACTGTAAAATGTAATGCGAATTGCAGTCGTGCGATTTTTGGCCTTGATAAGATTTACGGTGTATTGAAAATTTACTATTACATCAAATCTTCTTGTGGTCTGATAACGGTGTACCATAATCTCCCGCTATGTTATGGTAATCGTGTCGTAAGATTTGCAATGTTATACAGTGCCATCGAAGTTAGTAAGCACACGTATATCACAGGCAAGAATGTACCGGATCGGTACAATTTCGACATGTTTCAATTCCGATGCGAAAAGCACCTGAAATAAATCCTGACCGTTCGTAAGCAATATGGATCAATTTCACGTATTTATAATATCGGAATGCAAATTTAGCGAAATAATGCCGATTCAAATCGCAGGAATGGAAATATTCTATGTAATTAGGTATTACTCATAGCCTTCGACTTTATGAGTAAGAGCTAAGATGGCGATTTACCGCGAGGACGATGTGTGCTATTTATTTATCTATGAATACCGAGCAGAGCATTTGTACAGTCTAATATTCTTTCTTTTGTTAAAAGAATTGTACAAGATGCATGCGAAATTGCGTACATTTTATTTCTTTTTCTTTTTCATGTGATTTCTGTCTGTTCGATATTATTTAAAATCGTACAACGAGTATTTATTTAATTGCCTGCAAATGTATGCAGAGGAATCGTTAGGGCGCCGTAAAGAGAAGACAGACAAACGCAGTCTGTCGCAAGTGGTTTAAGGAACAATTACTGCCACTTACTGAAGATCTACAGATCTCTATTACATTTACTTGTTTCGTCAACTGCCATGTTATTTCGTCCTTTCGTGAATATAAATAATCACCGTACTCGTTTAACTCGTACCTAGCATTTACTTGTACGTACGCTATGGTACGCGTATGCTTAAAAAAAAAAATAAGAAAGAAGCATACGTTCGCTAAGTTGCGTTCTTTCGCGACTATATATCACTTTATGAGACGCGTGATGGCAGTGGCTGGTCTCGCGAAAATGCATCACATCCTCGAGTCTTTCTCGCAATCTAACGTAATAATATCGCGTGATATTTTCGACGCTCGTACTTTCGACAGTTCTTCCAGAAAGATCGTATTCGAGTTCAACGCTCGAAATCAGTTTATCCGCCCAGTTTATGTCAATTTTGAATTGTTTGTAACAATATAATCGGATTCGTTTTTTGTAACAGATGCAAACTCGATTAAGCCAGCGAATTGGCTTTCTGTTAGATTGCGACAGGCTAAGAAGGAACACTAACATAAGTTGAATTTAGACAAACGAAGTTGCTTCAATTAAAATCGAGATGAATAATTCACTCAATACGTAATTAAACGTACGTAATAATGAAAAGTATTATTAAATGAGTCGGTTGATTTGTATGTTTATTCAAGTAATGTGCGAGATTCATGTCAATTTACAAAATTTTTCTAAATCGATGTTATTATTGCGCATCAAATATGTTATGATGCATTATCAAACTTTGTATAAAACTGTACGTATCATTTTTTTCGAGGCGAATGAAATATTACACTTATTTGATGAACACGAAAAAAAGAAAAAAAATTTTTTTGTAATCACCGATTACGAAGACACGAACGCAATTGATGAACCAATTGTGTTAGAATTGTATGACATGTGACATGTTTGCGATTGAAAAAGATTTTTACGCATTCCGTGAAAGATGACTGTAACAATAAAACGAGAGTGTGAGCGTTCTTGGAACATTGTTCAGGACTCATACTTCTCACGTGACAATGCAATATAAAACCGAATAATCTGTATTTTTCAATATCTTCCAGTTGTGCTAGAAATGGTAGTAGTGCTCTCAGCCTTATCCGTAGAATACTTCTGTTACAAATTGTTATACAAGCGAAGATACTAATAGCTCACGAAAATCGTAGGGAGTTTTACTCTGGAAAATCTGCGCTTTCCATTTACTTAAGGTATTACACGAAGAAATGTGATGAGTAATCCGAGTGCAAATCAAGTGGGTTGTAATGGTTGATCTTGGTACTATAAAGAATACATACTCCATTTTATTACAGTACATTAGCAGGATTTAGACATTCACATGGGCTTTTACCGAGAATCACTCACGAGATCTATCGATTCGTAGTGCAGACAAAATTTTGAGTTTCGATTCTTTCAAGAACGTATTGTCTAGTAAAATGTGAAAAGCACTTATGAAAGCACAAGAGATCGACCAATTGATCACGAGCGGCAAGTCAGACACTTTTATACGATTTATCGAGCGCTTCGTCATTGCCGATCGTACATATCATCTCGCAAGGACCATGCATTTCGCGAAGACATTTTCGAGAATACTCAAGCAATAGCGTGAAGCATCGATCAAGGGCTGGACCAGACTTCTTAATGATCAATGAGCTCTAATAATGTCCGACGCGGTACGAACATATTTTTTAATGACTATTTTCAATACGGTAGTAGAGGGAAAAAAAGGACGGCAGAATTTTCGTAGGAAGAGTTTGGGATCTAAATTTCGAAGGATTTATTCTGTCTCTCCTGATCATAGTCCTGTATAGTCTCCAATAGTGCTCTCTACCCTTGATTCTGTTTCAAAGTAGTTACTTAACGCTAGAATCACGTATTTTTCTCAATGCAAGTGCTTCGGCATGACACTTTCTTCCACAAAATTCACGGGTATGTCCGTTATCAAGGAATCTTCGTTGCAACGTCGCTTTATCTTTAATTCACTCGTTAAACATTTTCAATTTCAGAATACACGATATTCTTGATGTTAATTCGGAATTGTTATTATATTTCACACTTTTTCTTATTTAAATTTAAATGTAGTTTAATTAACATTTATTTCTTACTAAAACTTTTCACTTTTTTATTTTTTGTTATAAAGTATAAAAGGAAAAATAAGTTTTTTATGGATCAAAGTTATTTAATTTAAAATGTTATAATTGATTCTTTTCGATTTATTTAAAATAGATTTTTTATCGTCTGTATTATGTTTATACAAAATTATTTATTTATACATTTTCAGTGCTCTTTTGAGCATCGTAACATCGTAGGAACGATAACAGCTTAACTCCCTCGAGCAGCCTCCATAATTTATGAAGCATTCAACGGAGATTCCTGATAGCGCAAGCTCGCGTATCACACAATCGATACACTCTTGATCGCGCCGCCGCAACCGCCACTGATACAATTTTTGAGAAATGCACACAACAGCGTAGTAGCACAAAGAAAAATACCTATCTTTTGATAACTGCACCCTGAACGGCGGACGTTGTTGCGGCGTAATCGCGATGACCATCATAGAAAATAGTTATCGTCGACGACGGGGCATGCATCGTGACATTCAAGACACAGTATTTTCAGTTCCAATAAAATTAAATTTACAGTGTAAAATTCAATTCAGAATCTAAACTCAAATCTATCTGTTGCGCCACCCATCCGGAATTAAATAGAAAAATTATTAAATACAATTTTTAATTAGATATTTAAGTTTTCGAAAATTTTGATATCGCATTTCTGTGTTTAGCGACCAATGTTTTGCAAGTACGCCTGTCCCGTTCTCGATGATTTTGCTTCGTTATACTTGCGTGCGAATTAAAATCACGTAGTAGTTGACATCGACATATGCGAGAAACATGCGCGGCGACAGATACAAAAAAAAAAGCCTGCCTCTCGCAGAAATATTTTTTTACCGTCTAGTGTCAGCGACCGTAATTCGTTTTAGATCCGGCTAGAACCTAGACGTAGTGTGACCGTATAGGCAGTCGAGGAAGGCTCCGCACCGGAGGCGTTTCTGGAGCAAAGAGCGAGATCTCTATTGCCGTGACACGCAGCCCTGTATTGCTCGTACGTTAACCCGTTCGCGAGAATGTATTTTTAACTGCAATATGGCAAAAATTGTATCACTAAACTTTCATCTGTATTTCTTCGCATAATATACCGAATTTCGAGTGAAATTACAACAACGTTATAGTAAAAAAATTAGCACTACTGAAAATTGCACAAAGAAAAGATAATATAATAACTATTTATAACAATTACACTGTTTGATACTTTTATTTCCACTCAGATCAATTGATCTAATTCCATTGATTCTTTTATCGCATCATCTGAAATGAAGAACATTTTCCGATAAAGTCAGAATAAAAAGTTCGGTGGAAAATATTCATGAATATCCGAATGAGTGTGAAACATTTAAGATCACGGGTTAAGGTAACGAAGTCCATGTAGCAACACCAAGGTCCAAGAGAGAAATTGGCTGAAAATCTTTTTTTTTGTTATTTAATCATTGATCGTGCGAAACCCTTGGTTCCGCGCCTCATCGAGAGCATTGAAGAAAGAGCCGGTCAGAGCCCTCCAAAGAGTCGCGTCCCAGAAAACGTGTGTATAATCACGAGAGAGCGCTTAATCGACGTGTCATTATTATCGACGACTCCTCCGAAGAATATTGTAAATAATTAAGAGCCGCGTCGAGTGAGGAGAGATGCGAGTGAATGCGTGCATGCGAGAGCGCGAGCGAAACGGACACATATACAGCGAATGTGTACGAATAACTGTATAAAGACTGATTAGATTAGCCTTGGTATTTATTCGAATTTAAATGATTAAACGCTATCGCTTTGCGCGCCCTTAATACTCACGGAGCACGATGCCAAAGGTGATTCCCCTTCTATTTTTCTCCATTAAGCAGATCACAGCGTGCCGATACGTGCTTGTCGTTGATCACGCTCGCGATATTTCCTATTTTCGTTGCTATCAATTCATCATTCATCCCCAGATTGCCCCGAAGCGTAATCCGGCTTTTCATGCAAGTTTTCCGATTCCCGAGGAATTTGTTGCTGGCCTATATACACAATCCTATTCTAAGAAACATTCTTTTCCCCGCCTACGATTTTGTTCGCTTCGTATCGCTGTTCAGTGGCGCGTGTGTTTTCGGGTACAGCGGCGAAAATATGGGAGAACGAAAGGCTGATACAGGGATTCGATGTGTAACATGTTTCGAATGAATCTGCGTTATTTTTTGTATGTTTCCCTTGATTTTTACGCTTGAAAAACCGATCCGACAAGTTCTGACCATCGTGCTCGAATATGTATGAACGCAGCAAAAGCAGAGGGAAGAATGACATGCGCGATTATTAACAGCGACACTATTATCGTCACAACGTATCAATATTATTCAATGCATCGTATAAACCAGTAAACTAAATGTAAACTTTGTATATTCATTTACTAAGAGAATAAAAATAAATTATTCGACGATGCAGCGTGCTATACTTGATTTCCCAACCCTCGATCTTTTAGAAATTAACGGCTTGGAAATAAATAAAATATTCCAATGTTCTAATTTTTTCAATTTTATTTTCACAGACAAATATCAAATATTATTAATAATAAATCATTGTAAATTTAGTAAGACATATTAAAGACATTATATATTATATCTTATTTATAATACATATATTCACAAATTTTCCATTAGAGCTCGTGCCCTTTTCAACTCTGAAAAAGAAAAACAGCATGTTAGAAAATATTAATAAATTGTTTAATTATATTTAATTTCCAAAAATTGTAAATTTTTTAATTTTTTTTTGTAATTAAATAATCTTAAAAAAAATGGTTTCTATCTAAAGTCGTAATTAAATTGTCCGTACCCTTTAGTAACACTTGCACATCGTCCTTCGAGATATTTATAGTGGAATCTTCTTCATTGCCATCTATTTTCTTTAACTTTAATGCCACAGTAGAAACAGGCGAGGCGCTATCGCAAGATAACACTTCAATGGACGACAAACGACTGACTGCAAAGGTAATAAAAATAAATTTTGACGTACATCAAATTATTTATGTAATAAAAGTTTATATAAATTTAATATTTCTTGAACTAACTGATTTTTTTAGACCCAAACTTTAAATTAAAAGTTAATTAATGGCAGTTCATTATTGTTTAAATTAAATTTTATAAAAAACGAAGAGCTTGGACTGCTCACCTCTGAGTGATTGCGATGAAAGAACAGCCGTGATCTGAGAACAGTGATCTGTATGAATTCTTGCTACAGCCGTGCTGTGCTCTCGTGGCAATCCCAATTGTTGCAACTCGCTACTCAAGTCAGCGGCAGAAACGCCGTATCGGGCGGAAGATGTAAAGATCAATTCGAGAGCGGCTACCATCGCTTTCCCATCGCTTGCATCTGAATAAAACAAATCTCTGTACTTTCCTCGATCTATCAGCTATTTTCGCGCGATTTAACTTCACGATTTTAATAATAATGATATACTGAATTACACTCACCAAGTTTAGCGTCTTGTGTAATCTTTTTCACTTTTTCCTCCTAAAAGTTGAATGTGGTGCAATTAAAAATGATTATCATATCTCCAAAATAAAAAATATGATTTTTATCTAAGTTTAATAGCCATTTATTTGAAAATTAAACAAAGTCACGATCTATACTCACGTCAAGTTCTCCTTCGGCTAAATATTTAGCTACTGCTTGGCCTAGCATTTTCATTTTAATTGAGGTCTAAAAAAATATTAAAAATCGACATATGTTACAAATTGTCTTAATATCTTTTTTATAATATGTATAATTTTCGAATTCCGATATATTATACATATAATTAGAAACTGTGTAAATATATATATATATCAGATATATTATAAAATCATAAATTATATACCATTCGTGAAAGCGTATTGATTTCCGCCAACAACCAGTCAGGGCAGTCGCCATCGCCAAGAAATCTGAATCTCTGATATTAGATAGTTGAGTTTGTGAAGTTGTTAAAATTAATAATACATTTATTAATAATGTATTAATAAATTAATTTATTAATAAACAGAAAAACTTAAGTGAATAATTAATTACAAAACATGTTCAAACTTACAGTTCACTTTTCATTTTACTAATCTTATTTATTCAAGACATCGTAATTTTGCAAAATAATCGTAACGACTTGGTAAATTAAATCTTACCATCTTGATTAATTTCCTAATTCGTGTTCACAATTGCTTTATGCCCTTTACCTAAAAATCAGATGGTGCAATCAATTCTTTCGACAATTAAAATTACATTATTATTATAACAATTCTATAGTTTCATATAAGCAGTAAGGCGTTGTCTTGCAATTATAGCAGAAATTCGCAATATATTTTTCTTATATTTTTAAAATATAATTTTCTATTGTAATATAATTGTCTTTTAAATTATTGCAGAATATATTGATTCGTTTTATACATTTCTAGGAAAAATGCTTAACCAATATCACTGTAATTCACTGTCAAGCTTTCACTCCTAGTACAACCGCGGAGAGATCTACGTCATTCAATCAAACTACGTATACTTTGGGTTTGCCGTGTACCCTCGGGGGTAGAAATAGTAGGCGGAAACAGTCGCTCTTGCAATATCTCTCTCTCTCACGCCGATAATATCTTTAACAATAAGTATCATAATGCTACGAGTTGGGGAGCAGACATGGACGTCAAGATGTTTACACTCGTTGGCGCAGTAGATTGGCCAGCGTCTTGTGAACGAATTCCCCATTCAATCCGCCTAAGCCTTCGACCGCGACGATAGCCCTCGGGAATTTTGTCCAGCGAGCATAAATAGTCGGTGAAAAATGGGCTGAGTGCCATTCTAGTCGAGGAAGTCGCGCACGCCAGACATCCGTCAACAGGTGAACGCCGCAACAGGTAAGAGCGCCGATAATTAAGTTAGAAACTAAATTCCTCTACGGTTTAGTCCTTGTCAATGAATACTCCGCGATTTTACATTCGAAATTACTATCAAAAGTATCATATAAAATTAATTGCAACTAACTTGAGGTGACTTTTTAAGATTTTTTAACAAATAAGTTACTTGATGATGGAAAGCCAGTAAGATAATAATCATTTTAATTGCTTAAAAACTGAACGATAATTTTAATAGTGTAGATTTTTCTTATTTGATTTTATTATAAATAATGGCTTATGGTACATAAATGATGTAAGAGATAATATATAAATTAAGAAGTACGTTTACACCGTTGAAAATCATTATTTTTATCAAGCTACTTGAATTCAATTGATTCATTGCGACTGTGTTGTGGCAGTTCGTCGCAGTTTATATTCATCGAGAAAAAACCAACAAAATCGGCTTTTAATAATGATCACCAAAGAAATCAAAAGCTCTTTTTTTTCTGGAAAAAAACTAGAAAAGCCGGCAGGATTTCTTGATAATGGCCTACCGAAAGAACTAAATGCTATTTTTAATCGCGTAAGATCTAACCGCGAGATTTAGAACAAATATTATCACGAATTCTACAATACATAATTTTCATGACTAGTACTTATGTCAATTGGAAATTAATTCGAATAATAATAGCAGACAAATATATCAGTTGCAGCTACAGAGAGTTATCGCATCTAGACATTTCAGAGATTTCTAATCAAAATACTTTTCGCATCTTCCAAATAAAATAACGTTAACCAACATTGATAAGAACAACTTTTACAATCAGCGTTCCTTCATTTATTAACTTCAATTATTTTTAATTAAAGTTGTTCTTTTGTTCCGAAATTTTTATATTAAAATTATTCTGAATTCTCCATTAGCGAAATGCAATCTTGTAACGAAATACTCTGTATATCTTTTTTTGTACGACAGTTAATGGATGGGAAGAAATTAGATTTCTATAATATTGTCAATATTGATACTTATAATAGTTATAATAATTCTCCATATCATTTAATTAAACGGTTATAAACAATAAATATCTTTTTATAATTATACAAATAAATCTTTCAACAAAATAAAATTACAAAAATAATAATAAAATTGCTATAATCTCTATTAAAAGATGTAACTTTTATATTTCCATTAAATCACGGCAATGAGCGAAAATGTAATTTATATAATCATGAACTATCATTAATTTCAGCAATGAAGATAATATTGCTGGCCACAACCCTGCTATCAATAGCAATGTCTGAAAATATTCTGGTAACTAAAATATTGTTTATAACTATTTAAAATTATATGTTGCAATTATTTCACCAAAAATTGTTCCAAAGAATCGCATTGATTTCAATGAAAATTAATCGGAAAAAAAAATTTTCAAAGCTTTGCTGCAAGCTAGTATAATGCTATATTTTTGCGCATATTTAAAATGAATAAAGATTGCAATATCTACAAATTGCTTTTATACTTCAAGATGGGAAATCATCTAAAACCAAAAACGCTATGGATTCGTGACAAGCAATTTTGGAATAAGAAAATAAAGCGATTGTTACACGGCGATGCTCCTTCCGAAATAGAAGATCTCGTGAATTACGACGATGACAGACAACTGCCTCGAATTTCGGATGCGCGGTTCATTAGCGAAACAAACAAAGTTCCCATAGCGGTTGTCAGGTAATAAAATAAGCACAATATTATTTAAAATGACATCTATTTTGTCCAAAATCTATTTTGATCAAAATTGTAATTATTTGCGTGTTATTAAAAAATTAGAGATATTAGAAACTCGCATAGTATATCAATGTTAAACATTAAAATACTGGAAATTTTTGCTAAAAAAATAAACGACTGAAAATTAATGAAAAAAAATACTAGTATAGTTGAAAAATTATGTGTATGATAAAATACTGAAGTAAATTAAATAAAAAATAAAATTTGATTCCAGACGGTCTAACATGGCACGGTATTCACAAGTCGACCTATCTTCCGATAAGCCAAAAGTCGAAAACGCCAAACCGACGATCCTGATCTCCATCGGCATACAAGAGAGAAAGAAAACAAGTGAGGATTTACAAGACGATTGCTCGAAAATTGCAAAGAAAAACTATCGCAAGTATAATCAACACCGGCAGATTCAAGAACCGTTTTACGTCGAAGAGCCAAGGTGGATTGAGATCGATCCCGAATACAAGGACTCGTCGCGACATCTAAATGGCGATCCTTATATACTAACGAGAGGAAAAAAAATTTTTAGAATTGAGGACTCGGAAGAAGGAGACAAGACTATCGAGAATTACGAGTTCATTGATTATCCGAGCAAAATGGCATCGATGAAAAACAGAGTCAGAAGATCTGTCGAGATAAATAAAAATTATCAGGATAGCACAGTTAAAGAAAACAATGACGAAAAAGAAATAAACCATCACAATTTTCTCCGAGATATTAATAAAGATACAAACAATATCGATACGATTAAAACAAAGAATCGAGATAAGAAGTTTTCCAGGATCGACAAAAAATCTGAGGATAAAAAAACTAATAAGAAAAAGGACGTAAGTGTTCCTCATAATGTCTCCATTAAAAAATATAAAAAGGATAAGCTGAAGGATTTAGCAAAACAACCACCGCGCAAGTTTACAAAAAAGAATCAAATCTCGGATGATGTAATAGTTACAAACTTTGTTGACCAAGATCAGAAGATACAGCGTGAAAATGATCCTAATAATATTGTAAATCACAATAGCACAGCTAATGAAAGTGAGAGATTTAATAACAAAAGTCATTTTGCTAGTGGCACAAATAAAAGAAATAAAAGATCGGCATTATTAAAGAATAGAAAATTCTCCGAAGACCCTAAAAGATATAAAACTTATGAAATCGACTGGGTGGACGTGAACTCCAAGAAAAGTGCCGAAAAGAATGGAACAGATGTGTTTGAGCAAAATAAAGTTTATATCGACAAGCTAGACGATTTAAGCACATACGACGATCCTTTTATTTTATCTCGCGGAAAAGATTTGCTCGACAGCGGGAGAAACAGCTCAAATAAAAATGACGCAAACCACAAATTCATCGAAAAATTATGGAAAATTAAGTATTATGCGCATCGGAAAAAATTGGAAAACGAAGAGGAAGCAAGAAACGAAATGAATAAATTAGAAGCCGACAACGATGACACAGGAACAACGGATTCGCAGTTAACAGACAAGTTCGATTCGAAAACCTTCGGAATAAAGAATTATCCAAACAATCGGGAAAAGCGTAATGCTTGCGAAACTTGCAAGATGGGTTCGCAGTTTCAAGAAGAGCTGTGGTGGAAGAATATTGAGAAGAATATTCAAGATTCGTCTTTCGAGCGAAGGGACAAGCATGGCGACATTCTAGAAGGTCTACGACTCACCGAGCCTTACATCATTTCCCGAGGTAAAAAAGCTTTGCACGAATTCAAAGACAGTTTCTTCCGAATGCTGAAGCGAAACAAGAACGATGCAAATCACGCTAAAATGAAGTCTCTTTTAAACATGATATTAACGGAAAAATATAATAATGATAATTACGATACTAATGTGGCCGAATTGTCAAACGACAAGATATCACCGAGGGATCGACGTGGAGAGCTCGATGAAATTTTAGCGCCATACGACCCGTACTACGTAGCCAGAGGAAAACGAGCCAACTTGAATAACTTTCTGACCAAGGCGCGACTGCTGCGAAATTAGAAGTTCGAAACAGATGCGAAACAATAGGCCTTAGGAGACGCGTCGTGCGATAGATACGATTTCTGGCTGCATAACGCTACAATAAGAGAAGCAAGACACCGTACATTGGAAATATCTTCCATCATAGTTCCACCCGCTTTGATTGTAACGCAAACACGGCAATTCGCGCATCATTTTTCAAATAAAATATGTATATTACAACGTATAATGAATTATAAGATAAATTTTTTGAAAAGGAAAATAAACTTATTAAAAAATTAGTTAAGCGAGCTTGCAGACACGACTTCATTTATAAATGCGCAATTTGAAAAATAGACATAAGATTTAGAAAAATTTCTGTATATGTAAATGATATCTATATTCAGATAATTTAATCGAATTGAAATGTAGTGTCTGTTATACATGTTGCATGTTGCCAAATTCAATAGATAAACTAATACCATGTAATACGAAGGAAAGAATGATTTTTTATTATAATATATTAAAGGATTGGCAATAAATATTAAAATGTTAAAGGTTGACTAATATGTAGTTATAACAAATTTGTTTCATACATATAAGAGCAAGTGTGTTAAACAGTAAAGAAACTTTGGTAATATCTTGTTCCATTTCTTATTTTATTCTTGTAATTAATATAAAGTATTGTTTTTTTATTTGCACAAATAAATCAGAGAATTGACAAAAAATGTATCTCGAATATAGCACTAATTATAAATATATAAACACATGAAAGTGTAAAACTACAAAATATTTTATGGCACATGCTTGTATATGTATTATCAAACACTAATTGCTCGCATATTAATGCTAATTAATTTAACGTATTTTCTTTATTTTACGTTTTTCCGTTAAAAATATAAAATATAACCTATAAAAACATAGTTGCTGGAAAAACACCTCGCCGGTTCACACGTCATATAGATTACTTTACGTTCAAATGTATTGTCGTGACGATATTCATTTACAAAAATTATGTAAAACAAAAATAGTTACCTGATAAACATCTGCATTTACAAAAATTGTACTGATACTGATTGACACTTGCATACAGCTGACACACCTCAGGTTAGACTAGGATTGTGACAATCCGTAAAGTCGATAATGATGGAACTAAGCTGATCTTTAATTGGTAAAATTGGAAACTACATTGCTCATGTCTACTTTATATTCAATCGCATTACTTATATTTATAAAAAATAAACAATTAAAAAGAAAGATAAATTAAAAAAGACTTGCAGAAAAATATAATTCAAATTATGCAATTTTAAAAACTATATTCAAAATAAGTAAAAAAACAAAAATTGTTCAAATAATTAAACAATTATAATTAATTGCTTTTATTGATATGTATTTCATCAATTGTACATATATAGACATGTATTGAATTTATATAATAATACATCGAGGCACAACAAATTTTTTAATTACACATATTTATAGAATATCTTTTCTCTATGTGATTTTTTTTTAATGTAAATCATTTAGTTATAGTTTAATAGGTTTTATTTATATATATATTTCTTATACATTATTCGAAAATATGTTTTCACGCAAGAAATACGTTGAACATACATTTACAATATGAAATATTACAAATTACAAGATCATTAAAAAGCATTTTAGAAGGAGAATAATTAAAAATATAAATATTATCATAAAGAGATTAGTCTGCAAACGGATCAAGAAATCCCTTGTACATCGATTTTTCTATTCCCCCACAAACGCTTTCAATCATTTACAATTACCGCAATTTTAACTTGTTATACTCAAATCTTACTCTTAAATGTAGATTGATGTATTAACGTTTTGATTATATATCGATGCTTTGTGCTATCTTTTTAACTAATATAATTATTTATTAGCAAATATATTTACACGTAAATAAATATAAACGGGTATTTATAATGTTTGGAAAATATGCAGTTACAAAATATATATCATTTATGACAGCCATTTATTGATTATTGTTTATACTAATTACAATCAGGATTTGCAATATTCTCATTGTAGTTTTTCTAGATTTCGTAAGTTTTCTCACTCAATTTACGACGGATCCAAAAAAATTTCAGTGTACCGAATAAAATTTACGCTCCCCAAACTGATTTTACACATCTAATCATATTGAACCTTCGCATTTCTACGCCTATAAAATAATCAAAGAAAGGACATGAATAAAACATTGTGGGCTATAGAAACATTAGAGCCTCAAGCAATTTATTATTTTATAACAAGGTATGCAACATAGATACATGGCAACATAAATCCCACACACTGCGTGATTGAAATTAGTGAATTACAGTTTTTTGACAGGAATTTATCACGTGCGGTAGATCACTGTTATATCATCGTTAAGATAAAAAAGAATATATATAAATCAATCAATCAATCAAGCAAAATGTTGTTCATCAAAATCGCGACAGAATCTAAATACATTCTAATTATCAGCAGGATCTCAATAATTAAAGGTCATCTCGTTGGATGCAACCAATGGCCACAAAAATGGTCACCTTCCAACGTGATTGATAAATTTACATCTCAGGAGGCAAGAATCAAAGAATCCGGATGATGACTGAAAACATAATTGTATCTACAATAACATTATCGATTAACATCCAGAGAAAAATATAATTCCTATCTATGTCACGATATGCTAGATATTTATACACTATTCAATCTTAGCTTACACACCACCTGTTTCCCGTGTACATTTTATTTCTCGGAATCGAGGACGTGAAATTACTTTTCGTAATTGCGCCGATGCGTAATATGCGTTTGTAAATTGAAATGAAAAAAATTCTGCTCTATGCACGGGACAAATTAATACAGGGTGTTCCATAAAAGATTATTAGTAGAAATGCATTTTTTGTGAACTTCGAATTCCTTTGAATATTTTAAATACGTAATTATTGTTTGAAATTAGGCATTTTTATGAATCAATTTAATTGTGCACATGTGTAAAATCTTATTTTTATATTAATTTAAAACTATTGACATTTTAGAAATTTTAATTTGACATTTAATTGCTGATATAGATCCAATGTTGAGAATTCAAAGTTCGTGATCGATTATGATCTTTGTTAAAATTATTATTAAAAGATAATCTTGAAATTTGTTTAAGAATATATCACTACTACTAATTGCTACTTTTGATAATACACCCTGTACGAATTAATACTGATATAGGCATTTTGAAAGACTTTACTGACATGTACATACAATCGTAGACAGCAGAAGAGATATATCTTCGTCTTAATCAATCTATAAATAATTACACCATGAATATGTCGCTTGCAATGAAAGCAGATCACAAGATACAAATCGTAGACGTGTGACTGTAAACAACATTTCTGATGGCTACATCAAATTATATAAAAAGAGACACTTATGTTTCTATTGTTTTTTTGCGAAATTAATGCACATACTCTTTAATTAAGCTCACATAAATTTCAATAGTGTTATCGATTTGGGTAGAATTCTGATTGACGTAACAGGGTCATACATGTTCAGCGTGAACAACGCATTGTCAGTTATACGAGATCCGCGCCAATCTTAAGCAATATATTTGTCTCCATGTTGAAATATTCAGAAAATGTTTTGAAAACAAATTAGAACGGAATATTAAGTAATAGTATTCACAAACATATTCTAATTTAATTAAACATAAATCTGATTTTCTCTGCATGCAGAAGTTATTCATGGAAACCGCAGGAAGAGTTCTGCTTTAGAACTGTTCTATATGCATGTCTTTGTTCATTGTGTACATTCTGAGTTTACGCCTCCGCTTGTGATTGCATCTACGACTTGCAGTTTGCGGCTTGCATCCATTGCACACGATCCTGAATTTTGCGCTAGCGGCAAAATATATGTAATGACATACATATGACAAACTATGCACATTGAAGAGAAATATTGGCCAACGATATATGTAAAATATAATTATGAAGCTCCAATTGACAGATTATTGAATTAAATAATTGAATTATAATAAATTAATAAATGAACAACAATCGCTCGCATCTATCACTGTAACTGACAGACACGTTTTCTTCTTCGCTTTTTAGATTTTTAGCTATATCGGTTTAATTATTTGGAGAAGATGTGTTTTTCGTAACAGTTATCGTTTCTAAGGGCTGTTGCATTATTGTGAATCTGAAACATAAAGCAGGAAATGACATTTATGATCCTTTCGAAATGTTTGGGAAAAAGACGTCATATTCGGAGTTCAGTTGTGTTTAGTGTATAATTAGACAGCACTTTTGAACACATAAATCTTATCTTGAAATTAATTCTTATTGTCAATGCCATAGAATATATTTTTATTAAATTTACTGAGAAAAAATTAATCATATTTAATTCATATTTATTTTAAAATAAAATAAAATTAGTTGAAATGAAAATTTAAAAAAATATAGCTATTATGAATTTATTTAGCTATCTGAGATATTACAGGAAATTAATTTCCAATTCAAAATACGTAAAGCATTTACGCAATTTAGAGATTTAATTAACTAATTATAATATATTGTAAATAATGAATTAATTACAATTTATTGTAAATTAATTACAATTTATTGTAAATTGTAAATAATGAATTAATTAATTCATACTTAATTTTACTCATAATTAATTTATAAATTTTGTATAGATATATAAGATTTCATAACTAGACGAAATGTCATCTTAATATTAATGATAAATAAAATTTGTAAATCATGAGTACACAATGATGAGCAACTTTTCGACGACAATGTGCCGCGAAAGTTTTAAAGCGAACCTTTGCGTTGCTATTGTTTCACAGTTGCCAGGTAGATAATCCACAGCTTTGTTTTAAATGTCACTTGGCACCCATATCGCAAGGAAAAAAAAATATTTTCACAACATCACTAGTGCGGAATAATTCGTAAACGGACGATCATAAGTGCTAATCACAGAATGTAGGAGAATTGAAGAAGCATAAATAAACTTTATCAGCAGGCGTAAGGCGTATATATCGATGAATATTACAGAACACTGAGTGCACTTAAACGCCTGACGTGTTACATGCAAGATAAAGATAAGAAATATAGGACAGCACATAATGTTCGGCCTACCAAGAACAATATATCGCACATGTATATCGTGTATGTACATATTTCGATATTATAAAAAATATCTTGAAAAAGATATTTTTGAAAAAGAGTTCAGTTACTTTCTCTCTTTCCCGCTATCGCTAATTAAGCCGTTTCACACGCAGTAGAGAAGCATAGTTATTCAGCCATTAGATACGAAGGATAGACGAAGCATCGAAAAAAGTACGATGTGAGAGTGTTTCATATCAACTGGCTGTGCCAATTACCTAATGCTGCCGGCGAGTCGCCATCCACGCCGATCCTTTCGGTGTTATCAAACATGCTTATGAACGGGCTGTCGTCCTCGTACGGGGCTGTCGCCCACTTTTTGCCTCTCACCCCCACAAACATCCCCCGTAACTCCCATCGTGGATTTTTCTTACCGCGCATCTCAAAATATCGGAAGGGCGATCGCTTTTCGACCTGGCACGAGGCTAGAGCGTTTCTTCTATCGCCCGCTCCTGCTCGGGGGAAATAGAACGTGGGCCAGTGTGACCATATCGAACTCAGTATCGCGCGGACGGTAGGCAAAAGAAGAAAACAAAAATTGCCCGTCACATTTCACTATACAAAGTTTATTCGGCGAAACACGTGAACAATAAGATAAATATTTGAGAAAGCCTTCGTTCTCTGCGTCCTTTGCATTGGAGATGGACTCGATCGATTCGACTCGTCTGTCTAGTCGTATACGAGAGGTATTCGAAAAGCGCCGGGTTATTTCACAAAATATTCTCGAGTGCGCGATAAAAACGAAAGAAAACATTTCTCAGTCGTAACATAGTTAATTAAATAAGATGGAAGATTTAACCGATTTGTTTTCTTCAGCAATTTCCATCATAAAATTTATGTATGCAAATATTTTTCAATTAGTTATCGAGTAATTAACGTTTCCAGCTTTTTAAAAACCTCTCGTGTAAAAAGAAAAATTTCTGATAAGCTTTCTTTTTCAATAATTTTTATGTAATAATTTATATAAAAGTAATTTGATTTTACATTGTAGATAAATATTTGAGATAAATGGTTTAACCAGTAATTCTTTTACAAGTTATCGACGATCACAAAGCTTTTAAAATTATTTGACAAGCAATTCAGAAGTTTCTCTTCTTCTTAATAATTGAACCGTATGTAAATAAGATTGATTACCTTGATATCCGTTTGATGATCGAATTCCAAAGTTTGCCTCAGATCCAAATCGCTCTCCCGTGTTCCTTTTCCCTCTCATGCCTTGAAAACCCATTGGTGCCCTTTTGTCCGAATCTTTCTTGCCTCTCATTCCCTGAAAACCCATTGGTGCTCTCTTGTCAAAATCCAGAGGGTCTGCATAGTAATCTATGTAATTTTCAAAGCCGTCCTTTTTACCTCTCATGCCCTAAAAAAATTAGTAAGTAAAAGATAAGATTATTAAATAGAGGTAAAAGATTATTAAATCAATTCAACTTGTTAAATAATTAATTACACAAGCGAAATTATTTTTTGGCATAGGTGGTCAATTGCGGGTACACCTATTCCATTATTTATTTCTTTGTTTATTTTTTCATATGCTCAATAACATGCTAATTTACACATTTTTATCTTTCTTCAGAAATCTGTTGGATTTGCCAAAACTAATTGAACGTACTTGAAAACCCATAATGGCTCGTTTTTCGAGTTCCTCTATCTCGTCGTATAGCGTCTTTTTGCCTCTCATTCCCTGAAATCCCATGGGAGCTCTTTTTTCCCATTCTGCCGGGAACTCTTGTTTCTTTCCGCGCATACCTTGGAAACCCATCGCGAGAAGTCTCTTTTCGTAACTTTGCGGATCAAAAATGTAACCTTTTGTCCCCCTCATATTCTGAAAGCCGATCGCAGCCCTCTTTTCCATTTCGCTCAATACCTATTTGTATATTTTAACAGATTTTATTTAAACAAGACGGATAAAGCGTTATATTTTAATTAAATAAAAAATTGCCGATTGAAAAAAGATTATTTAAAATACTTAAACGATCGAAAATATAAATTGGGAAATACAAATAAAATACGATTAAAGTGTGAAATTTATGAATATAAATTATTTTAGCATTCTAAACTTTTTATTAAAAGAATTCAATCAACATCAAAGAATCGAATTTACCTCCTCCAGTGATTTCTTTCCCCTCATTCCTTGAAATCCCATAGGTGCTCGTTTTTCGTAATCGTCATGAAAATAGGAATCTTCGAAATCAGGTATAAAGTAATCCTTCTTCCCTCTCATGCCTTGAAAACCCATTGGCGCCCGTTTGTCAAACTCGTCCTGCAGAGGATTGTCCTCAATGTCCGGCATATCTAAAGTCTTTTTACCGCGCATACCCTACGCAATAATTAAAATTTTTCGTAAATAATTCATGGAAAAATGTGAGACTCTTGCCTTTCACTTTTTCTACGATAAAGAGAATACTTTACCTGGAAACCCAGTAAAGCTCTTTTGGACAGTTCGCTATCTTCCGAAGATGTGGGAACGAGATCCTTTTTCCCGCGCATCCCTTGGAATCCCATTGGCGCTCGTTTAGCGGACGCGGCATCGCTGGAGGACGATTCTTCGGCAAACGACGAATTAATCCAGACCGCCAGAAAAAGTACCGAGCAGAAAAGCATTCTGAAACGTAACGTAGAAAAACAATCAGCATATCTAAAAAAAATATTTGTCTCGTTGAAGCTCTCTTTCTTTGGCATTTCTACTTCGAGAAGCGCAACTCAAACGCGCACGTCTTCCAAGCTTCCGTATGCAGTACGTGCTCAAGTTATCGTTCCACCGTTCTCATTGTTGCATCCCGGCATGTATGTAGGTACACGAAAGACAAGATACATGCCGAAGTAATTTATCGAGGCAAGTAACCACATTTGATTGTTCATTAGCAACCTAGCCAAGACTAACAATCAGTCGGATACAGCTGTCAGATGCTCAAGTGACATTCAATCAAATCAAACTCAATCCAATCCAATTTCAATCACATGATTGTTAAAGCCTTAAATGCGACAAGAAACGCGAACAGGTTCATTGCATTTGAAGCAATAAATTCTAGTAGGCTCTAAATGAAAGATCGAAATTCTTAATAAAAAACCTAATAAGGCATAAAAATTGTATAAGGCGTGATTGCACATCCACTGGCGTCAGTGCACATTCAATTCATTAAACACAAAATTATAAAGTGAATCAATTAATACGAAATGTTTCGATCTGTATTAAATCCTCTTCAACATCATTTCCACTGAAGAGCACCCAATGTGGATCGAACATTTCGTATTAATTGATCCAATGGAATTCTCTACTTAATAAATTAAATGCGCATTGATATAATAACCGCCCTTTTAATTAATCGTTTATTAAAAATTTTGAGAATATGTAATGACGGTAACAATTTTACTTATTAAGTATGTAAAAACGATTTCATAAAAAGAAATTATTTCTAAGCTGTTAAAAGAGAAAAACTATAAACTATAAACTATAAGCTATAAACTATAAACTATAAACTATAAGAAACAAGTAATAAAAATCCTTTTTTCTTCGCATTGATCAATTGTGATTTCTGCGTACATACAAATAAAAATTTTTCGCTGCATAAGAAAAACATAAGAAAGCTTAAAACACCCTCTTCATATAAAATATTACGTTATGCGGAGAAAAATGTACAGTAGACGAAAATATTGCGGAGAGATAATATTCGCGCAAGATAGAACATGCAAAATAAAAGCGGATACTGAAGATTTAGGAAGCGGCGAAAACGCTTTCGCAAAGAAAACCTGCGTGTTGCATAAAAGAAGCATCTTAAAGGATGCATAGGGAGCAACGTTAAAAGGAATGTCGAATCGAAACTTGCGAGATAGCGTCTATTAATTCGAAAAGAAATGCACGCCTTTTGAAGATAATTGAATACTTAAGTTTATGAATTGAAAGCACTCGGCGCCGATGCCGAACGTAAATACAACGAATGGAGCGGCGCTCGTGTAATTTTCTCTTCTTACCGTGCCTCTCAACAGATTATTCAATTTTACACCGGTGTAAAAGTGCCGCTACTCTTCAAAGCGGAGATCGATTAAACAATGTATTAACTGCGACGATTTTTAAAGACAATAAAAAATAGAAGAGACAACAAGAGAAATATTATAAAAGCCACAGCGCGGATGTAAAAGCGCAAAATAAACGCTTCTTTATTATCAGAAGATATAAAGTAATTAAACGTTTCGGCTCAATTTCGAGTCGTTTTCGGTCTTATAAAATTGTAATCGGCAAGGAGTTTTGGAAAAGAAATCTTAGTTCGCGTGGACTATCTCTGCTAATCTATTAACATATCTGCGCGGATTGCCGAGAACTTCGAAGAGATAATTCACGTAGACTTGAAGTTTCCTGTCATTTCTAAACTCTCGGCAACTGGTCAATCTGCACGGATTTGGCAATAGATTATCGCAGATAGTCCGCGTGGATTAGAATTTCTCCATTATAATTAGCGAATGGAAGGCTCGCCTTTCTCAAAGCATTCACTCCAAAGTGCCACAGCGAGAACAAAGAATATCAATAAGCGGCCACCGAGAAAATGGAAAAGAAAAGAAATAGAAAATTCCAATTATTTTAATCGAGGACGGGTTTTAAATTCTTATATTAAAATGCTTGCGCAGGCTTATTGACATTTTTCTCCGAGAACGAGCGGAAACATTAATATATATCAATCGATTGTTTGTCGCTATTAAATCTTATAGCACAATAATATGTGCTTTTCTTTGACTGAATTGTATGCAAATTGTGCCACATACACAATAGAACTCTATTTGCTTTCGCAGTGCAGTAGAATAATTCTCCTTTATACGCATATAATAAAAACATTACTGCTTTGCGGTTATTGCCACTATCCTTTAAATCGGAAATGTAATAATCCATAATATTCTCAAGTGCACACACACACACACGCGCGCGCGCGCGCGCACGCACACACACACGCACACACACACACACACACACACACACAGAGTTTTCATGATTATTAAATTTTGCACTTCATACATCTTGTTAGAATTTCTACATTTTTCCTCTTTTGAGATACGCCTGATTAAGTTTAATTAAGCAAACCAAGCAAATTAATTATGTCTGTAGTACTTTATTTATTCTTTAATTAATATGATGAACTAATTATATTTTTATTCAAGAGAAAAAAAGAGTAGAGAACGCTTAAAAGTTGGAAATTACTTAAGCATTTTGAAAGAAAAAATAGCACATTTTCAATAAATTACACAGCGCAATAATTTTGACGAGCATTTTTTAGAAAAGTTCTTGCAATTTTTTGCAATAATCGAAATAACACGAAATAAAAAGCAAGAAACTTTTTCACGCTAATTTTTATTGCAGATTTAAACATGTGCAAATGCTTGAAAATTTTTTTGGAAATTCCTGTTTTTATTATAATGCACATTTAAAGTATACAGGAAAGTGTATATGTATCATTATATATTTATATAAAACATTTATATAAAACCGAAGTAATTTAGAATTTTCGAGGTTTCGAACGAAATAATGCTCCAATTTTATTTGATAGATTTTTTGAAATTTTATTTTTACTAATAATCGAAATCTCATATTTTATCACTATTTTACGCGAATATAAAAGAAAGATAAATTGATAATGGTTTGTATACGATTTATGTGATGATATGTAACAGATCTGAGCACTATGTAGTAAAATCAAATCATAAACTCCATCGAAAACTGAAAGAACGAGTTGTTTTTTTGTTATCCTTGTATTCTCCCTTGCGGCCTGTATATTACTCGTCGCCGCATTGTGAGGCGTTGATCGATTTCAGTTTAATACGCTTCCATTCAGCGCGATTCAATATCGTGCGTAGACACGTGATATTGAAATGATATATGTACACCGTAAACGTATAAATAAATAGATACTTTTCAGCCCATCACAAATCAAGATCTTACATGAAATCCACCAAATATTATCAAAAAACTGTGCAAAGTGTAGAATTATATCTTAGAAATCTTGCTAAACATCGGATCTAACATAAGCAAGTAGTTGATTGCGCAGCCGATGGTTCCAAAAGCAAAATATTAACTCTATCGATGAGGCTCTTTCTGATTTACAAAAGACGTGATTTATTATAGCCCTTCTGGCTTTTCGATTATTATCACTCTTGAATATAATAGCCCTAAGACAACAATGTACGAATGTGTCAGATAAAACATCACCATAAGTGTACGCCAGCTCGAATATCAGAAATGAGAAAATCCTCGAATGAGAGGAATAAATTTTTTTTATGGCAAAGAAAAATATTACACAAGATATCTGATTTTAATGATATTTCAGAAAGTACTTGGGACATGAAAAAATTATTTTAAATAAACATCTTTCAATCCGAGGCGGACACGTGATAGTAATATTGATCTATCGTAGGTAAATATCGGAGATGTTTATAGAATATCTTTAACATCGCAAGCAAATTTTCGGTGAATCTCACGCCGCACGAAAGTGAAAGCACTGAAAGCTTTCAATCGTGGACTTTAAAGGAGTAAACGTGTAGGACAAGCTTGCTTAGAACGATTACACGAGTGACCGATCGCGGCGGCGAGGAATAGGCCATCAGCACTCTCTCACATATTCGCCACCCTCCGCCTCCGCCCCTTTCTCTCTTATCACACCGCTACTTTCCTCATCTTGTCTACCCGTGGCATGACTACCCGTTGTTCTTGGCGTCTCTGCCCCCTTGTCGAGCTAGAATTCTCGCTCCGTTACTTTGCGCGACAAAGAGGCTGACCTCGACAGTTGCAACGTGCGCGCATTACTACGTCCCACGTTGTCAAGACGTCGTTTTTTATATGGCACTCGACTCTAGGAGGCATAAAATTAAAATAATTTTTCATTTTCAATGCGATCGATGTTCCCTGTGCTTTCACCGATTGTCTTTTCTTTTTTCTTTTTGTCACGATAATCACGATTCCAATAACACTTTGAAACCAACAAAATAATTTAATAATTGCTTTTAATTACTTTTTTTAGAACTAATAGAAAAAACGCTCTTCTTTTCATTTTAATCTATTTAGGTATTTATATTTTTCGTGTAGAAAGCCACAGGTACAAACACGAAGCTTGTTGTATCGCATATTTACGAAACAAGAATGTTTGAAAAAACTTCGAGCTATAATGAATGAAAGCTATAAAGAAAGAAGACTCGACACAGAATATTTTCTCTCAAGATACGAGACGATAGAACACGTCTTCACCTGTCGCATACGATCGAGAGAGAGAGAGAGAGAAAGGAAGAAAGAGAAATTCAATCACTTTAATCGCTCAATGTTCAATCGCCCAATATTCAATTATCAAACATTAAATTCCCTTTACTTATCTACGCGATAATTTCGCAAAGAAAAAGATAAAAAAAAAACCGATTCCCCAAAACAAAATGCACAAAATGTCTGGTGAATATCAGGATGGGTATAATGGTAAAAGTAAAGGCCATCCGTAATTCCGGCGACGTGGGCAGAAATCCCAGAGGAAGTAACACAAGATTGATTGCAGGTGCGAGAAAGGTGCGCGAAACGAGTCGGAACTATGGTCAGCTGTTTTTGCAATCAAACCAACCGGGGCGTACTCATTTGACGCA